AAAAAAAAAAAAAGAGTACCAAGATCCTTGTAGGATATGCGCCTTATGAAACAGCATAACATTGTTGCACACAAAAGTTGTTTATTATGCCTAAAGGAAATCAGCCTTCACAAACTACAATCAAGACTAAAGTGTCATAATTATACCACTGACTCCTCAATTTAAGCTATTGTGTCCATGAAACTCTACTTGGGTCTGTGGCAATACAAAAATAGCTGATCTATTTCTTCTTAAAGTTAACATTCAGCAAATATAAATAAAAGGATCAGGCTTTCTGGGTTTCACTTTCTTAATTTACTTCACAGAAAATATCAGTGTAGATTCACTCTCAGAATTCAAACTTTTTATAAATAAAAAGATGCTCGACAAGCTCTCAAGTAAAATTGGGAGGTTCCAGGTAATTGTGCAACAAGAGTTTTTCTTTGTCTTGCATGTGACTAACCTCAGAAACCATTGTTCTATGTTTCTAAAAACAGCCCTTCCTGTCTTTAGGCACATTTAATCAAAATATTGTGGGGATTGAATATAGCTGGAGCAAGAGGCTCCTCTGATGTAGAAAACTGCTGCTTGATTATGCATGTTCATGTGTCCATTCTCATCTGATTCATTTAAATATTTAATCTATCTCTATCCACTTCCCCAAAGCAATGCAAGCTGGCCGGGTGATTTTTTAATTTAAATAAAAAGAGAGTGGGCTTGCTACACATCTCCTCTTGTTTTCATTTATGAGATGTGCTTTGTTTAATAAAGTAGTAATGCTAGGAGAGATGACAAGTTCAAACTGTGCAGCAATTTGGCCAAATCTGAACTTCTGGGGGAAGGTGTAAAAAGGTAGATGAATGAATAAACCGGATGGGCAATTTGGGGTGAGTGCTTTGGGGACACCACCTGCTAAACACAGAAACCTATAGAAAACATTGCTCATGTGGAGAATGGAGAAGGGTAGCCAGCCACAAAGAAGAATGAAGAATTGTAGATGAGTCCACTGGCTGGAGACAGTTAACAGGGAATACACTCAAGTCACCAAAGTGAGGACAACTGTCTTGTTAGCACTTAATTAGGATGATAGGTATATCCCTGGTACCCTATCAGGCCTCTTTCTTACTTTTAAATTGTAAGAGTTGGGTTATTAGGCATGGGCTCTTTAATTACCTTTATATTCACTTGTCCAATAAAACTGATAACAGTCATAGTGTCCTTCAGACTCAAAACATTAACTTTACCAGCAGTGCAAATGAATAAGAGAGAGAGGACCCTGCTCACCTCTAATGGGGCTTTTCAACCTGCCCTCTCATCAGCTCTACAGCCTGCTTTTTTGTTGTGAGGGGTGAAGATTGGTAACAATTACATGAATACTGGAAAGAAGACTTTACTTTATGCCCCTGGTGTCCATGTGAAAGCCCAATCTCACCCGACACAACATGGGTAAACCTCTCAGGAAACTTCTCCAAAAAGGAGACGTGGCTAGACTGGGATTAAGTATCCAACATACAGTCTACTCCATAATACATACCTTAAAACAAAGGCATCAGTTCTTCGGCAATCAGCATTATGGGCTTCCCTGATTGCCACATCATTCTGGAATTCTAGGGCTAGAGGGATTATTATTGACTAATCTAATTTAAACCTCATCCCACACATAGTATCCTCCTGCAGCACATGAATGGAAAACGATTTACACTAAAAAAAAAAAAAGAGAGAGAGAAAGAGAGATTCTACTTCTTTTCTTTACTCTTTCTGTCAGCATTAGTGTCTGTAATTTAACCTTGACATGATTATACCTCAATTATGAATAATATAAGCATGATGCTTCTTATGAAATGCTGTACGGAATTAAAATGAAGATATTATTCCTGACCCCAAGAAATTTACTGTGGAGTCATGGAGGCAGAGTGATCATAGAAAGTCAGACATACCAGCTGTGAAAAGCACATGCTACTCTCAGTGCTGGGCTCTTGATCTCACAAGGCACCCCTGAGGCCTGAAGCCACGTGGCTAGATTTGGCTTCTCTGCCCAGCCCTACTGATTAATGTCTCAGTTGGATTATCTGTCATGTTTGTGTCTCAGGATGAGCCCTGCCCCTCCCTGCAGCCTCGCCTGGCCCAGGAAAGTTAGTGAGCCAGAGATAAAAGATGACTTGGATATGAGAAATTCCAGCCATTGGATCAGAGAGGCCCTGAGAAACAGCAGAGGTTTTTACCTATGTTATTTTCCCAGTGGAAATGAATAGCAGTAACTGTCGCACCATAAAATATTTATTAATTGACCCCTCGGTCTTCCATTTTCATTGTATACTATCCTAATTCTCTTAAAGACCTCAGGATGTTCCCCTACTTCCAGTATTCTAGACAATTTTATATATTTCTTTTAAACTTTTAAAAAGGGATTGATTCTTAATCATTTTCAGGTATTTATTGAATGTTTGTTAAACTAAGCTTACTAATACATAGTCTGTACATGTTTAAGTACATGCCTTTTCACCCTCTTAAAAGAAACTTCTTAAGTCATCTGTACAACTCTAAATGTATAAGAACATGTCTTTATAGCCAAAATTTAAGTTCCAACTCTAATATGTCATGCTTATGATTTTTGATTAATAGATTGAATTGTATCATATTTTGGTAAAACCCAGTAAGTGCCAATTTGGAAATTCACTCAATTAGACTCCCATCTATAATTCTATGGGAAAAACTCAGTTAATTGAATAAATCAGATGAATAACATCCACAATAACCATTATGGAAAAATACTGGGTAAGCCTATGTCTAGTTGGAAATTTAAGACTTCAGTTTAAAGTGTTAGCACATCATTAAAAGTAAATATATTAATTTTTACATATCATAGTCATTATATAATACATGTCACTGAAAAGACATTTCAAATTCTTAACCATCCTATATGATGTCTGTACAGTGGTTTTATCATCTATTAAACCTCATACTGTAGAAACTAGAAATAATGGAATTATCATTTATCTTTGATACAATGTAATTCTCAGGGATTCTCTAATACTACAAGTACTGAGGTAGAACAGGGACATGGGACAAGCTTCATGATTAATTTTTCCTGCCTATTATGAAAAATGCCAAGATAGAAATAGCATAGTAAGAACAAGAGGGACTCCATCTTAAGACTAAGATTCCATTTTAAAAACCAGAGAGTTAGGAGGTAAGATTCCTAACATATTTTATGGTAATTAGCCAACAACTTAACCTATCTTAGGCAGAACAAGCAGTCCTAAATGATGTATTCCCACTGCTCAAGGGAAACCACTACCTTGGAGAAGAACAGGATCAATAGAGTTTTTGTGTTAAGTTTATCTTACAGAATATCTAGAGGACAGACTACGGATGATGATATAATGTCTCTCACTGGAGACAGACATCATGAGACACATGTCAAGCCTATACCCTTCCCAGTCCTTACCCCATTCTTGAAATCCTTAAAAGAGATGAACCTAAGCCTTTAAGTGTGTCTCTCCTCTGAGACTGAGTGCACTCCCCTTTCTTCAAGTGTGTATTTTGCCTTAAATAAAGCTTTCTTGCTGTTCAGCTTATTGTATTTTTTTTTTCTGTGCTCTTCCAAGCCTGTCAGGAGGTTAATAAGAAATCCCTTTTCCTAGGGGTGACTTTGTTACTTTGCTATTTCAATTTTCTAGACTTAAGCTCAAGTCTTCTCTCTCTCTGTTCCACTTCAGACAAGTAGGGATGGGCTACTAAGATCTCTGATTTGGGCTTGCCAGTCCCCATTGCCTAGGTGACCTGAAAGAACTGCAGTTGTATGATTGTGCTCCTTAGTTGCCTGCCCAAAAATCGCCTTTATTTGCTTTGGGAAGTTCTCAGAACATAATCTCACTCCGTACAGTGCTCCATGGCTCCTCCAAATTCTGAGGTGCTGGGGACTTTATTCCATGCTGCGCAGATTCAGACACTGGATGCTGGGTGACCCTGGCTTCAGGAGTTGGAAAGGGATCTGCCCTATGCTGAGCAGGAGATCACTGAGCTTCCCCTTCCTCCCTCTGTTCTTCCTTGCTCCTCACTGCCTGCATGGCTGCTGCTGCCATTCACTGCTACTTTCGCTTTAATGAATTCCTTCCTTACCTATATTCGTCCAACCTGTTCATGAATTCTTTCTTGATCAGAGTCAAAAACCCTCCCCCATCCAGGTAGAGGCTTCACCTAATGTTCAGGGAGAGACCTCACCAGACCCAGCTGCCCGGCAACAGTAGGAAATATAATAGTACATCTGGGCACTATGCTAAATGACCTATATTAATCAAATTTGGAACCCCTGGAGTCAGGGAGTGGTCTTCTGTTCAAATCCTGCCTCCTATGGGCGGTTAGCTCTCTCTTGGAAATAAGGGAATATCAAGAACAGTATCCATGTGTCCTTGGGCCAACTGTATCGTTAGGACCCCAGTAAGAAACAAAAGTCACTCCCTAGATTGTTGTAGTGAAGAACCTTTAATAAGGGGAGTAATTACAGAGGTGAGGGTAGGGCTGATGGAAAGAGCAGGGGACACTGAGGCAC